TCACTGCCATTTTAACAGGGGTTTGAAAGATCGGAGGACTGGGACTGAGTTTAGTTAATTATACAAATTTCAGAAATTAAAAAAAAAAACAGACTAGGGCCTCAGTTGTAACTGCTGTGATGCGCTTTTGGGAGGTAAGTTTAAAAGAACATGTTGCTTCTGACCTGTACGCTCCTGTCCCACATGGCTTTGCTGAAGCAAACCGAAAGGTGACGTTCCTGCCCGTGGGCTCTCTGTGGTTTACGGCAGCAGCTCTATTTGGAGCTGAGCACTTTTGGTTTTAATCTGATTGCCTTTTGCTGCTTTGTGCATTTACTCCTTTAAAAAAAACCTAAACAATTAAAATTTGACAGGTTTATTTTTGCAACCATCCACAGTATAGCAAGACAAGCAGGAGGTGTGGCAGGTGAGCTGGAGGGGTGAGGCCTGCCTTCCCTCTCCATGTTTGGGGGGACTGGCTGCTTACACAGCAGCAGCTGGCAGCACCCCTGTGCCCCCATGCCTGTGGGCACCCCACAGTGGCAGCAGTCCAAAATGGGGGTTGGTTGTCCAGCATCCTGTCATCACCAAAACATAAAAGATGAACCAGGCCAGCTTTAGGAATAGAGGTTGATCCACAGCCACATTCATTGAGCATCATTTGTGAATTTTGCCCCTCAAAGGGATTCGTGTGCCGTGGTGTAGCTCGGGTTCCCATCAAGATGTGCTGGTTGCTAAGCCTTGGCTGTTGCTGAGGAGTATCTTCTCTCTGCCACAAATGTTGGTAGTTCTCATTAGGTGGAGGAACAGCCATCTGCAGGTGAAATACAGAGGTTTGTGGAGTCAGGTTTGTGTTTTTCTCTGCTCCCTGAGCTCCAGCTGAGCAACAGCCCATGAGAGCTGCCTCACTCCTGAACTGGAGGAGCTGAAGTGGCATCATTTAGCAGCTTTGTCAGGAGCAACACTACGAATTTAAAGCTGTCCACTGGGACTTTGATGTTCTGGCGAGGGGCTTGTGTTTGACAGCTGAGAGATGCTCCTGGTGCTCTCTCTGACGTCCTCGCATGAGATGTGGCAGCCCCTGCAAATACACGTGATGCAGCTCCCAGGGATGTGCCGTGGAGGATCCGTCCTTCTTAGCAGTTGTGCATTGATTTATCCCAATGACATCCTTACGGAGGTCCTGGAGGGGCTGTGGTGTCTTTGAGGTCCCAGTAAACTCTCCTTACTCATGCAGGTGTTTGGCCTTGTTTCCTCCCCCTCTTTCAGGTGCAGGCTGAAGGACCAAAGATGGGGGCTGGTCGTGAGCCCCCTAACCTACGCATCTTGGACTGAAGCTCGTTTGGTTTTGTTACTGACCTCCAAGAGCATTTGACTTGGGCTTGATTTGTATGGTGGATAGTGATTCTCTTGTGGCAGAAAAACTATTCGAAGCATAGAGTTAGCGAACAGCAAGTAGACATGGAGAAAACCATTCTGTGGAAAGGATATGGAAGAGAAGCAACAATCTGTACATTTTTCTAGTAAAACTGTAGCAGGCAGAATTTTTCATCTGTCCACCCATTTAAATGTGTTTTAGAAGGGACTTTGGCCCTTTGTGCCTATTGGAGCATCCTTGCTTGGGGCTGATCTTCATGTCCTCATAAGAGATGGGAGCTCAGCACAGCAACTCAGTGCAGCAGAGAGCTCACTGAGCTTCCAGAGGCTGAGGAATTCAAAACGTTTAGTCTGACTTTTAAGAAACCTTTGATTGATTCAAAGTTGCAACCTAGATGCTTCTTGTTCTCCACTCTCTCTTCCATCCTATTCCTTTATCTTTTTGTTCTTAGCTCTTTCTTCCTTTGGGGCAGGAGGGAGGGTGGATATTCAGTGAAATATAAATAAGCCTTGCTCTGTCTTTGATGTCTTCTGAATTTTCTTCCTTTTGCTGATGTTGCGACATGAATTTTGCAGAAGGTCATACATCAGAAAAGGAGGAGACCATTAAGTGCAACTCTGTGGCCTGAGAGGGAGAGGGAGCTGCAGAGAAGCATCCTGGGAGCTGTGGCTCCATCTTCATCTCCACCACCCTGTCCCAGGCCACTGCCTTGCGCCTCCCTTCCCTTGCCTATGAAAGTCAGTGTCACGAGCACAGTGGGATCTGCAGGGCAGAGTGGGGTGACCCAATTGCCTTCACCTTGTTCCCAGCAGCAGCTGGGCTTACAGGGCCCATTCTGGCCCTTTCTCTCTCCTTTTGACCCCTGGCTGTAAGGGAAGAAGCTTCCAAGGTAATTAGTTTTCTGCAAGTATCATTAAAAGTGGGTGGCTGGAAGGATGGGCATTGGGGCAGTTGTGTGTTCATCTCTAGCTTCCAAACTTGTCTGCAGCAGATCACAGATAACAGTCAAAATACTCTCTGGAAGCACAATTGTGAGGGGAGATAGAAGGGAATTTTTTTAAGGAATATGTGGAAATAATAGAGAATATTCAGTGTAATCCAGTTTAAAGGTCAGTCAGCACAAATCTGTAGAAAATCAGGCATCAGTTTTTCCACTGTCCATGTGCTTGTTTATTATTAAAAGGGAGAAGGAAAAGAGGAAACAGGAGAGGTGTTGGCTCAGAGACGCTAATGCTTTGGGGAATGATGATGACCATGTTGGCAGTCCCAGGTTAGAGGGTAACATCAGTGTGTCATCCAGACCGAGGCAGAGCCATAAGCCTGGGGCCCAGCCCCATCCCTGTTTCACAGAGCTGAGCAAAAATGGTCCATTTCTCTGGGAAGCACCTGGAGCTTAAAAGTACCCCTTAAAGTCAGCCAGAGGCTCCAGCGCTTCACCGAACCACAGTGAATGTGTGGGAGCATCCCTGGTCTCTGCTGGGGCCAGGAGCTGCAGAGTGACGATGGCTGTGAACACAGAGCACCCTGTGCACTGCTGGGCCATCTGCAGTACAACAAATGGCATCTCTGCACAGCATCTTCTCCGTGGTGTGTCTTTAACGATTCGCAGCTTCCGTTTCGCGAGAGCCTGATCTGTGAATTCGCGTATGAAGCGTTTTGTGCGCGGAGAATTGTTTCGTGCTGGGTTTTGAGTACACGGAGCTGGAAGCTGTCATCCCTGCTCTTATCCCCAGCTGGAGCTGCTTCCTCCGGCAGTATGTAATTTTGAGTTTCCGTATATACGGGAGTAGTATGATCTGTGACGGGCAGAGTAACAGAAATGCTCTAGAGACCTGCAAAGTATTCATCAGCCGCAAACAGAGCTAAGAAGTTAGCGGCTGCTTTTATAGTGACTATTTCTAGCTCTTGTGCAAATGCACAAGCAAGAGGAACAGGTTCAGGGGCAGCACTGAGGTGGATATAGACTATCTGCTGATGTTGAATGTGTTCAAATGTAACTGCAGTGGGATTTTATGTCGTTTGATCTCCATGTCTGCTGGGTACTGGGTGCAGTTTATCATTTACAGGCTTCACGATGAGAAAATCGGCATTTGGTTTAGATGTGAGATCACAGAATGGTTCGAGTTGGACGAGATCTTTCAAGATCATCTGGTCCATCCCCCCTGCCATGGACTGGCACATCTTTCATTGTATCTCTGATTCTTCATTTAATACACTTCTACAAAAGTCAGTGTGGATCTTACCACTCTGCAGATCTCCACTTTCAATCCTCCTCCAGTTTGTAAACCCCAGTACCTCCCCCACCCCATCTCAGGAACTCCTTGATTATAAAAGATGCGTTTTCTCTCAGGACTGACAGTGTTATGAAACCAGAACCCATCTAATCAAGGAGTTTGGAGTCAAGGATCTTGTCAAATAGGAGAGTGACTTTTTTTTTTCCAAATAATTAAACTGTTTTGATTAACTAAATGCCCTTTTTTTCACCTCACCCACTGATGATGAGCACAGGTAGGTACTAAAACAGGTGGTACTGTTTGTGGTTATTCTGAGTGATGTTGACCTCGGATCCTTCTAAAAGTATGTTTTACAGAATTCTTGCATTTAGGAACTTCCAAACCTGCTTTGACATACAAATCATGCTTGAAAATAGATTTATTTTTTTTGAATTCTGTAGGGAGTGGTGTGCATGAATCAGGCCTTGATGAAAATATCAGCAGGGTCACATGAAGGGACCCTGTTTAAAAAGTATCTAAGGGCTTCTGTGACCTTTGCTAGCTACCTCTGTTAATAGTGAGTGCAAAGTGGTATTTCAAGGAAGCTTTTGTTCCAGAAGAGACTTGATAAGCTTCCCTAGATCTGCTGCAGTTCCTCTGAACCCACCTCTCATCAAGACACAGACCCTTGAAAGTGTTGACATGCGTTAGCTCTTCTTTCTGCCTTTACTTTTACAACCAAGACAGGCCCTATAGCTTTATTTAGAAAACACCCATCATTAGTAACCACAATCATTCAGCAGACATATTTACAAGGTAAGTGACAGTGGGAAGTAATTAAGTTTAATATAAATCGCACTCAATTTCAAATCTGCAGGCTTCAAAATAATAATTAATAGAAAATGCAGCTTCTATTAAAAGATGCAGTATTTATAGCAATATCTTCTTTCTTTTCCAGCTAAACACATTGAGTCTAGTGGAGATTAACATCCCCTGTCTGTTCATCTTATTTGTGTCAAAGCCTTTTTCTTCCTGTGGTGTACTTCATTGCAAATTACCCACTGCTTTTACTCTTTGTGGGGAGAGTTTTGGCTTTCAACTCAAAAGAATAAAAGAAGTGATGGTGGGGATGGGGAGGAAAACTCCAACGTTGTCCAAAACAGGCTTGTAAATGCACGTACCTTAAGCTGTGGCTTTCTGCTAAGTCTGTGTTTTATAGATCAGTGCCTAACGATGTGTGTTTTGTTTCACAGGTGTCATGCAGCTGACGGGTCTGCTGGTGGAGCTCATGGTCACAGCTGGGGCAGAAATTCTTCATTAAAGAAAACAAAGTGAAATAATCAAGGGAGGTTGGAGCTGTTTGCACAATCCATCAAGTTGATCAAAAAAATTCATCATTTGGGACGACATCCCACTTGCCAGTGGCTGCCATGGCTAGCAAAAGAAAGTCAACAACTCCCTGTATGGTGCGAACTTCTGAAGTCGTGGAGCAGGAAGGTGCCGAAGGCGTAGAGGCTCCTAAAGAGAAGGGGGCTGGTGCACCACAGCAGGACTCTAAAAAAAATTGGCCCTCAGAGAGCTCAGTCAAAGACTGCGAAGTGGTTGAGGCAAAGCCCCCAGCTGAAAATCAGTCCAAGAAACCCCAGGGTGGCTATGAGTGTAAATACTGCCCTTATTCAACACAAAACTTAAATGAATTTACAGAGCATGTTGACACTCAGCATCCAAATGTCATTCTCAACCCCCTGTATGTCTGTGCTGAATGCAACTTCACAACTAAAAAATACGATTCTTTATCTGACCACAACACAAAATACCACCCAGGAGAGACTAACTTTAAACTGAAGTTAATTAAACGCAATAATCAGACTGTTTTAGAGCAGTCCATTGAGAGCACTGCTAACGATGTCCCTGTCACAAGCAGTGGGATAGAAAATGCAGAGTGTGATGATTCACTTCATGGGGCAATTAGTGCCAGCAAACCACCAGTGATGAAACTGGGAAAGCCTAAAGGGGAAACCAAGAAGGGTCCCAAAAAGCCGGAAGAGGGAGTTACAGAAAACCACGTGGATGGCACTCTCCCCCGCATCATAACTGAAGCCACTGAAGCTATTGCTTGTATAAATGGAGACCTTCTCCACGATGTGTTAGCCCACGTTATGCCCTCCGTACAGCTGCCACCAAATATTAACCTTGTCCCCAAGGTCCCGGTACCTCTGAACAGTACCAAATACAACTCTGCACTGGACACAAATGCAACCATGATCAACTCTTTTAATAAATTTCCTTACCCAACGCAAGCAGAGTTGTCATGGTTGACGGCAGCATCAAAGCATCCGGAAGAACAAATCCGAATCTGGTTTGCTACGCAACGTTTGAAGCATGGTATAAGTTGGTCTCCTGAAGAAGTGGAGGAGGCAAGAAAGAAGATGTTCAACGGTACTATTCAGGCAGTTCCCCAAACCATCACTGTCCTGCCAGCTCCTTTGACAACTGCAAAAATGCCCCAGCCCATCATCCAGACAGCTTTGCCTTGTCAGATACTGGGCCAGACCGGTCTGGTTTTGACTCCCGTGTCAAATGGTTCAACCGTTTCCTGTTCACCAATTACGCTTGCTGTTGCCCCAAACCAGGGGCAAAAGAGGACAATACAGACCTTATCAAGTGCCCCAGAGGCCAAGCGTCCTCACATAGTCCAGGTGCCTGAGATTCCTGCCAAGCTGACTGCTGTACCGCTCACGCCAGCCAGTGAGCGAAAAAAGACGAAGGAGCAGATAGCAGAGCTGAAGGCCAGTTTCATGGCAAGCCAGTTTCCCGATGACGCAGAAGTCTACCGGCTGATAGAAGCGACGGGTCTCTCCAGGAGTGAGATCAAGAAGTGGTTCAGTGACCACAGGTACAGGAGTCAAAGAGGCATTGTGCACATCCCTGGCGATGCTTTAGGCAAAGATCAGCTAGCACCTTCAGCTAGTCGACACGGCCGATCGTTTCACCCGTACACAGATTTTACTCCCCAGAGATTCAAAGAGAAAACCCAAGAGCAGCTTAGGGCTCTTGAGGAGAGTTTCTTAAGATGTTCTTTTCCTACTCAAGGAGAATTGGACAGGCTTCGAGTCGAGACTAAGCTGAGTAGGAGGGAGATAGATTCGTGGTTCTCTGAGCGGAGAAAGATAAGGGACAGCATGGAGCAAGCTGTCTTGGACTCAATGGGATCCTACAGAAAAATTAAAGACCAAGGAATTCCCAATGGTGCAATAAGCCAGGCAGAACTGCTGAGTAGCTCGCAGCTCCCTGGTGCTTTATCTGGGTCCTCTGCCACGTTTAAGAAAACCCAAGAGCAGATTCATCTACTGAAAAGCACGTTTGCAAGGACCCAGTGGCCATCACCCCAGGAGTATGACCAGTTAGCATCTCAGACTGGGCTCACAAGAACTGAAATAGTTCGCTGGTTCAAGGAAAACCGGTCTTCACTAAGAACTGGGTCGCTTAAATGGATTGACCAGTACCAGCAGCAGTCTGTTGTCGATGGTCGTAACGAGCAAAGCCAGAAAAAGGGATCAAAACACGTTGAGAGTCCAAAGAATGGTAATGAGGTGCCTCGGCAGCATTACCAGGAGCATAAAAAACTGAATGAAGAGAATGGGGGGAAAGTAGCGGTGAGGGCAAAAAGAGACTGCGAACCATTGAAAGACTCTTTGTTGGGGAATCAAGCGGAGGGTACGGACAGGTTGGAGTGCAACAGCCACGACGGCCACGGCAGTGAGGAGAACGAGGAGCCGGCAGAGGTCAACTGGGTGGAGGTGACAGTGGGCGAGGATGACGCTGCATCGGACTGTACGGACAGCTGGAGCCAAACGGCACCAGAAGGCCAGGCAGAGCTGGCAGACTTTGACTCTGAAAGTATATCTGGAGACAATTCCCACGTATAGACAGGTAATGCTGATGGTGCCCTGTTTCCCTGAGCCTGCCTCTCTTTGGGTGTGCTTCCAGCATCCTGTATCCCCTCTTCGGTATAAATCCCAGGAGCCCATCCCTGCCGGATCAGATCGTTGTGCCTGCTGGATGCCTGAACAAAAGGGAAACCCATCCTGCTTGTAAATTAAAGCAACTGCATGGTAGGGGGAGGGTTAGTGCCATTTGCCTTGTTTCTTGTCTCCTTGTAGGTCAAGTCCTGGATAAGGGAGATTTTTAAAAAATTTTTATTCTGGTTTTTGGGCAGTGAGTGATTCAACCTTAAACTTTCTGCAATTCAACAACCTATGTAACATCTGTTACACTTGATGTAAAACATATCAGCTGAGCCAGGCAAAGAAAAGTAGTAAGTAACACTAGTTGTTAATATGCCCTTTGCTAGCAGATCATTGATTTCCCCTGAGCAGAGGCTGTGCCTGTTTTTGCACCTCAGGTCCTTCCTTTGCAGCAGCCTGCCCTGCTAAGAATAAAAGGTCATGGGGAAAGGGCCCAGGACAGAGGTGCTTCTTTATGCAACATCAAGTGGGGAAAAAAAAAAATGTTTTGGGGACTAAAGTGGCTCATGCAAATATGCTGTCTTCCTCTTGCAGGTGAGAACTGTCTTGAGCCTCACTTTGTTCTGCTTGCTCACTCTAGAGGCTTAGGAAATGCCCCAGACTAAGCTGTGTGGGTGTTTTTAGCAGCTCTTCTTCACAGGATCTTGAATTTAAAAGCAAGCTGCGGGGCCCTTCTTTAAGGGGTTTTTATGTGATCTTTGACAATGTGAAAGGACATGTTATTTGGAGACCTGAAGCCTGTTTCTGATCACAGTTGCACAGGTATAAATCCGGGACGAGCACCGTCAGCATTTCTTGACTTGCGTGTTGAAATGAGTTCAGTGGAGCCTGTAACATTTTGTGCTCAGTATAACTGAGTCTCTCTCCCAAGCGGGAATCTCCTTAAGCTAGAATTTATCCTGCAGAAAGCTCAGCACCCTGCATTAACAACAGCAGGAGAGAACATGTATTTTAGAAAGAGTTAGTAGTTTACTGGTGTCTAGGAGTATAATATACTTCAGCATTTTGTTATTTTTATTTTTTTTTAAAAAAAAAAGGAAATAGAAAAGCCAGGACTGAAAGAAATTCCTCCACATTTACACTGAAGACTTTTACTGTTGCAGCTAGTGGTACTTGAATTGAACTACTCTCTGTTGCAGATGTGCAGGGTTTTTTAGCAAGTCCTTCTGGCCTCCACTTTCTTCCTGTGCAATCCTTGTGCAGAAGTCTCATGGACATTTTCTCTGAGTGGCAGGGAAACCCTGCGGTGGTTTTATTTTGATCCACGAGATTTGCTGGCTAATTTTGTGAAATGTTTTCATGGCACCTCTATCACAAAGTATCTTAAGGCTCCAGACTGGAATGCAAGGCGCTGTCCTGCGTTCTGCTTGCGAAAGTTGGTAATCAGGGAGGTGAGGAGCAGGTTGTGTTACCTGCGTGGCAAAGGCAGAGATTAAAGGAGGAAGGAACATCAGCTGGGGTGCACTGTTATGCTGTAGCCACCTAAGAAAGGAGAGCCAGAGTCCTGCCTGCCTTTTAAAATCAAATGCAAGATGAACAAATGCATTGTGGGATTAATTTTTTTTCCCCAGGGTTATTATTCCAGATCATTTCTCCCTTCCAACTATAAATGATTGTACTGAGGAGAGAGGGCAGGCCAGGGACCAGGAGAGGGACTGGGTAGGAGGGCAGGAGAGGGGGGTTGCCTGAAGCCACTGTTTCTTACAAACCTCCTGTACCGTGAAACCAAGCTCAGCAACAACCCTCTTCCAGCTGTGTAAGTTGGGTGCCCTCATTTTTGTGTAGGGTGTGTTGGGGTGAACCCCTGCCTTTGTGACCTTTCACAGGTGCTGACCATAAAGCTCCAGAGCTGTGGAGGTGCTGAAGTGTAATCAGAAAGGAATCTGAATATGAGCTTTGATCTCAGTTAAACTTTCACTGGGTTCCCCTTATGTTAAGGAGGTTTTCGGTGGCTGGTTCTAAAATACACCTATCGAGAAGAGATGCACTGGAGCAGGGCCCCCGCTGTGAACACTGTGCAGTAAGCCCAGAGGGACGTGTTGTCCTCTGCTCTTTGCCCATTCCTTCAGCATGCTGGCCTGGGGACTTAACAAAAGCCCAAAGTCTTGTTCGTTTTCCTTCATTCTCCCTGAAGTCTCAGCCCAGAAACCCAAGTGTCTGCTCTCCAGTGCCCGCATGGAGTCGTTGTCACAGGTGTTGTGTCATGAGACTTGGAAGCTTTGTACCCCACACTGGTGGAACCTGTGGAAAATCACAGCTGCTGGTTCCTTTTTGCCTCGCTATAAGCTTTTGATCTTATCTTTGTGAAGCCTATCTTTACATAATTTTTAACTAAAACTTTTTTGTGTTAATTAATAAGTCATTATCTTAGGTGACATCCAGGCTCTGACTCGGAAGAAAAGACTGTGTAAAATCCAATGGAGAGCTTGTTTCTGCGTGTTGTCATATAAAAGTTTGATTTGTTTTTTTCCTGACATAATGCTCCTCGGTTCCTTAGAGGTGGTGTGTCGCTGTCCTGGCTGCAAGAGGTGGACTGAAAAGCTGACAAAGAGGCTTCCGCTCCTCTTGAGTCTCTCACACAGCCACAGCCATTAGGTGAAACTTTCACTGCTGAACGCTGCCTTGGGCAGAAACACATTCCTTTGATATTCGTGATGTTGCTATTTTCTCAGCTTGATGTAGGTACTTTAAAGTGAACAGGTTTTGGTGATTGATCTCTAAACTTCTGTTGTTGGCTGAATTTGTGTGCTGCTTCTGTAAAACCTGAGCTCTTCCAGACCATCTTGATCACTTTGCTCTGTTGTGTAGCTTTAGGAGTTTCTGAAACTATTAGGGAGTATTTGTGTTGCAGCCGAGACAGACATTATGCTTTACAAAACTGATTTTTTTCAAAACTGATCTGTGTTTGGCAGGTTCTGCTGCTGGAGCAGCAGTTAGCAGGAGTTTTAGGAGCACCTCAGCAAGAGTGGGATTCATGCCAGGCTCTGAAATACCATCTCTGGGCTAAGAAGAGGCTGTTACTAAGTCCATATCTGAGGCTTTTGGCAAATTGGATTTATTCCCAGAGCAGGTCAGGTTTCCTGAACCGTGAGGCTGGGAGACCTGTCCCTGTAGAATACCAGGGCCTTCCAGATGTTGAGTAGCTGCTGTAGGGTTCGCTAAAGCCATCACTGAAAGTGCTTCAGGTGCTGCATAATAAAGCCTCAGGTCTGCTCTATCAAGAGAGGACTGTAGCTCCCTGTCCATCGATAGAGTTATTCCAGACTTCCACCAGCATGGGTCAGAATTAGGTCTGTTGTCCCCATTTGCACAAGCCAGACAAACAGAAACTGGCTCTAAATTAAATACAGCAAATTGCAGCTCAGACATGAGAGTGGTGCCAGGGCGTGCCAGAGTGGTTGGCAGCTACCAGTGGCTTTCTTCACAGCATTGTCTCCCTCTGGGTTTTTCCCAAGGTCAGTATTTCCTCAACCCAAAGCTTTTGTTTCTTCTCAGAAGCATACTTCCCCCTTCCATCAGCACCTTCTCTGTTGTAAACTTTCTTTTTTAGTTATCTCATGATCTCCATTTTAAGCCCAAACCGTGCAAGGTGTAGGCACCGAAGTCCATGCCTCATGATGGAGGTGAGATAAGTGGACATCCCAGAACATGCATGCCCTGGCTCTTGATGGCTGTGACCACTGCTCAGTGGAGATGTGCCAAAAGAAAACCATGTCTGGGAGTTGCACACCAGGAAAAAAATTTAAAAGAGTTGGAAGGAAGTCACCCTTTGCTTCTGCTCTGTGCATCATTGTGGGCATCAAAGGCGGTCTGGGTCCTCTTTGTGTCCCCACCACTGCGGGAGCTGAGATGTGATTGCTGGTTGCCCAGTGCATTCCTCACTGTCTGGAACTGGTAAAAGTGGAGAGTGCTGGGGTTTCCCTCCCTTTCTGTCCCAGCTCTCATTTTCCCTCTGGTTTAGAGATTCATCCATAAAGCTAGCTATAGTGCCTGTTTCTGGTTTTGGGCTCCAAGGCACCATCCCGAAGTCAGTGTGGGACTGACCAGTGGGTTTTGCAGAACTTGCATCACCCTAAAGCATTTTGAGGAGTGAGACCGAAGTATGGAGGGCTTGCCATTTTCCCTGAAAATGGTGAGGTAAGTCAGAGAGCCAAGCTGTAACACAGTGAAGGACTGCAGAGGGGGAAGCAAAACTCCATGCAGCAATTAAAATTTTCCAGTTAGTTAGGAGGAGCAGGGGGCTGCAGGGATGCAAGGACAGGCAGGACTTTTGCCTTGGGTGTTGGTGCAAGCCAGTTCCCTTTCAATGGGCACAGCCGCGTTGCAGATGCTAAGCAGAGCTTTCTGGTTTTGTGAGAAATAACAGATCTGGTAGCAACACTCATAAAAGGAGTGAAATTACGTGTTAGCTCAGGCTGCGGTAAGTGCTGCTGCAGGAGGGGTGAGGAGGATGGTGCAAGAAAGCTGCCTTGTGCTGCTGCGAGCAGCTCCAGCCCGAGTGGGTGCTTGCACTTTTTGCCAGTTTACATCTCAGTGGGGAAGAACATGCTGAAGATAGTCCCTGCCGTGGAGCCCTTGCTCCGTGCAAGGGAGCTGGGGATATGTGTAGGCGGCAGAGATGTTTTGGGGTTATTTTTTAATCTCTGGTCCATGGTGCAGGAGTCACAGCCGAGCCAGGGAGCTGTTTGGCAGAGCACAGACGTGCAGTTTTTTCCATTGTCTTGCAGTTTGTATAATTATTTTCTAAAATCATGCCCCCCCCAAAAAAAAGTAGCGAGGGATTTTACCAGGGAAGAAAGACTTGTGTGTAGCACCATCCATCCTGGGGTCACAAAGTAACTGCCCCAAACCCACGTGCAGGACATCTTTGAGCCAGTGTGAGGATCTGCCTGAGATGTCTATTAGTGAGGGATCAGCTGAGTCAAAGCTGAGCTCTGTGTCCCTGTTAGAAATCTCTAGGGGGTTATTAGCTAGGTGTTAGAGCAAAAATCCACCACCCTACTCCAGCATCAGACTGTGATAGGAATAGGCTTCAGGGTAGAGTTAATACGAAGTATGGTGTTACCGTGTCTGCAGGGATGTAAAGTGGACGCGGTGTTAGTTGACAGCTTGAGTAGTTGTCCACAGTGCCTTCAAAAATAACTTGCTGCTTTTATAATTTTTGCAGGGGAACTCCTCAGCTGCACTGTCCTGACGTTGGAAGGGGAAATGCTGTCTGAAAATAGAAGAAAACTATTTTCCCGCCTGGGGTGAGATGGTGTGTTACGACTCCAAGTCCTGAACCACACTTGTGGAGGCACACAGGGAGAAATACTCTGGTGGAGCATCATCATGGGATCGTTTATAGTGCCAAAGTCCTACTACTGCATTAAAAAAGAAAAGAAAGAAAGAGAAAAGGGTCCTTGTACATAGGTTTCTCCTTAGCTTCTCTCTCCTACCTACTTTCCTCTCCAGCCTCTACTGGAACAGATTTGTACAACGTGGAAATTTTGTTACCTTTTTAAGAAGTGCAAGTTTTTCTTGCATATAATGCAATTGCAAAATATGGAGGTTGGTTTCGGGGAGGGAAGTGTCTTTTGTGGAGAAGATGAGATTTTTTTTAAAAAAAATTTTTTCTGAAGCGTTCTAAGACAGTTTTTCACTCTTTTGGGGTCTTGTTAGTGCAGATCAACATCTGAGCCCAGATCCCCACCCCAGTTTACATTTCAGCCCAGTTAAATGCGTTATGTGGGGTTGGGAAGGGTCATTCCGAAGTGGTTGGGGTTTGATTTTTTCCTTGTTGTTTTGTTTTATGGCCAGCTGCTCTGCTTCTGGTTGAAGTATTTAAATCTCTGCTTTTCCATGCTCCTGCAAGGCAGGTCTTCTCCAGATCCCCTACTTCTCACAAGCCAGCCCCAGCTGTGGATCTCTGAAGATTTGGCTAGAATGCCTTTTTGCGGGGAGGTGTTGGCACTTTTTGTTCAAACATGCAGCACAGCCCCCAGAGGGGTTGGAGTGAGGAAGTTAAGATGCTTCATAATCCAAACTTGTTTGTGTTTCTTCAGCTGGTACAACAATGGATATCATAACCAACAATCCATCTTCCAGCTTTAGATGTTGTAGTGCACAACAGAGATTTCTGATTAACCCTTGCCACTAAATTTTTAGATCAATCCTAGGTTCCTGAGTGCACTTTTTTCTTTTTTTTTTCCTTCAAATACTGTTAATTTGGATTTGTGTGGGGGTCTCTGTCTGTGCATAGGTGAGGAGGAGGAAAGAGAGTGGGAATGTGGGTGCGTAGGTGAGCAGGTGCAAGAGCCGTCCGTTGCATTCCTTGGTTGGGTTCAGAAAACTTACCCGCCTTTCAGTAAGCTGCACAAATAGGATGCTAGGGAGTTTGAATAAATCCAACTTTTCTAACTTGTTGCTCATTTGTTGTAACTCAATAAAACAAACGCTAAACATTTTGGTAACCTTTTTCTCTTTGCCTTTTTTGGCTTGTTTTTTCCTTTTTTTTTTGGTAATTTTATTCCCTTTAAACTCCAAACTCAAGCCCAGCCAACTCTCCTTGGTGCACAAGAGCTCAGTGTCTTTAGAGCTGTGATTAGGGTTTTAACTGGGTTTGCAGTAATCAGCTTGGCAGACACTAACCAGATTAAAGTGAATTACTGATGTTTATTTCCCTGGTGTTAGGTGTTTCTTCCCTGCAGGAGGAATCAGGTAGTGCCTGGGAATGGGGATTTGGGGGACACCTTTTTTTTGGTTGCAATCACAACCTGAATGAAAGAAATCATCCCTGTGACTCACCCAGATGGAGTTGTATTTATTAATCATCAGCACAATATTTACTTGTCAAGGGAGGTTTGCAGTCAGCAGCAGCAAGCGCTCGGCAAGTTTCCTTGCAGTAGAGTTACCCAGTTCAGTGCCAAAGAAGAGTGAGGGGATGGGGCAGCATTCGCTGTGTTTGTGTGTCACGGGCCAACAGCAAGAGGAGGGGAAGCAACCTCGGCTCTTCCACAGGCACCCCGAGGCTGAGGTCCCACATGTCCCATCACACGTGGTGCTCCACGCCGTCCTCCTGCCTGCGTGGAGGCAGATGCTCACGGTCACATCCGTGCTTCCTGTGTGGGTTGTCAGATTGATGGATGCAAGCATCACGTGGCCAAAAAGAAAATGCAGGTGCTCCTCCAGGACCCTAAAGTTGTAACTGAAACTTAATCGTCACTTCGGTCTGCTTTGCTTACACGAAAGGATGCTAATATTTTAATTGCTCTTGTGCACCATTTTTAACAGCCACTTGGCGGCTTAATATTCCAGTTTGCATCTCTCTGTGTGATGCATGTGTACGTCTGTGTGTCTGGAGCGCTGACCTACTTTGCTTAACCAGCCGCACTCCCAGGTTGCTCAGCAGGAGGTTTACGAAGAACAAGACGCACCTGGGTTTTCTGTATTTGTACAGCCCCAGATATGGTGGGATCTGGGGCCAGGACTGGGGCACTTTAAGATCCCTGCAAGTCAAATAAAACAATAGCAGTGCCCTTGGAGTCCGTCATCACACAGATAATAAAGCTGAAGCTCTCCCATGGCAAACAAACGCGCTTGCAAAAGACTGGCACAGCCTTTGCCGGCGCCGGCAGAGCGGTGACACGGGGTGTGTTTCTGCGGGCACACCGGGGTGTGACACCAAACCTTCGGCTTTCATCAGGGAAAGTTGATCCGGTGGCCCCCGTTTTGGTTTTTTTTCCAGCTTAAAGCAATCCAGTTCCCCACAAAGGTTGCTTCAGCCCGGCTGACAGAACGAGTTCACAAGCTGGGCATTGCAGGCAGGCTTTGTTTTTAATTAATACGGACGCAGCGGCTGCATTTCTAGGAGAGTCCAAGCGGCGAGGCACAATCGGGACATTGTTTGTACACGGCAGCCATTAGGGATGGCCTCGGCCTTGGCGTTTCATTGCACGGGGATGAAAATAAGCTGCTGACACCGAGTTTCCTCCCGCGCAGCCTCGCCTTCTGCGGTGCAGGAGCCCGGCTTTGGCAGCGCCCTGTGCGGCTGAGAGCAGGGCCCTGCACCCCGTCAAGCCTCGCAGCAAGGGGACAGGTCGGGACCAGCAGTCCCCAGTTGCTCAGGTTTTGATTGACATCTTCCCCAATGTGTTTTAAGCTAAGCCTCTTTTAAATCAGAACAACTCCGGTTAACACAGAAACAAACAAACAAAAATCTTAAAAACCCCAGATTTTTTACTTGTGCAACTTTTTTTTTTCTTAGATGTGGTTTGTAGAAAAATCTGTCACTTGGAAGCCAGAAATTATTTGAGTTAGGTGGCCTCTACTTTCTAATTTAGTCTGATTCTAAGAGGATGGGTTTTCATTATATACACAACGTTATTTCTGCCTGATCCATAAGATGCTGGGAAGGGAGCTGCTCAGTAAATGCGCTGCCATTAGCTCCTTGCTGCTGTCAGAGATACAGGGACTCCATGCACGTAATAACACAGGTACAGCTTAGGACAGGTCAGACAGAAGCCTCATTAAACATGATCATGGTGAGAGACCACTGGGGCAGTGGAGAATAACAGCGTTACACGATGGTTTGGGTTGAAAGGAACCTTCAAAGATGATCTCATCCAAACCCCCTGCCATGGGCAGGGACATCTCACTAGATCAGGTTGCTCAACGCCCCATCCTGCCTGGCCTTGGAAAGTTTTGGGGCAGCAACTTAAGCACGTACAAACCTCTCTGCAGTTTGAATGAGTTATTTTCTAGACAAGTAGTGTTTGGGGAGGGGGGAAGGTTAAAAGGAAAAAAAAACTCCACACTTTTCAACCATGTCACTCTAGTGGCCTCATTTTTAATCTCAGATCTCCACTGACCTTTGGAAATTTCATTTATTCCATCGCTTTGAAAGTCAGCCAGTGAGTGGTGCAGGGACTCCGTCTGCTCTAGGTGAAACCCAGCAGTGACAGGGATCACTCTCAGAAGGGACGTCCCAGCACCACATGGACCATCACAGGATAGGTGTGAAGCACCAGATTGGTGAAAGAAATCTTTGTAATTATGACTGTAATAATAATTATGTGATGATAACTTAAAATCTACAGCAACACACAGGAAGATACAGCAACCAGGCTAAGTAATACTTACGCATTATGTTCACCTTCAGCATCAATCTAGTCACTGAAACTGTCCCCATCATCTTGGTGTAGCCCTCAGCTATTGTTAGGTAGCAAACACATCCTGAAATCTCTCTAGATTACAGAAGGGAAGAAAGGAATTAATTACAAAAGCATGTAAGGCAACATTGTAGGAAGCCCATTTGGCATCCTGATAGCAAGGAAAGAGCACACCAGTGGTGGAAAGGAACTTTTTAATCATCTCCTGAGGAAAAAGAGAAAGTGAGACCATTTAACTCAGCTAAAGTGGGGACTTCTGTACTTACTTGATCCATAACTAATGGAAAGTGGTTGAAGAGCATAATTCTGAAAATGTTCATAGTACAGCAGGAAAAGTGACTGTATCAAGAGCAAGAGAATGTGAGATAAGTGGTGAAAGAATGAAAAAGCAGCAGAAAACCCAAGGCAGACTTTCTCGGGTGTTGCACAGCTGAACCATATCCCAATCAGATTATTGCAAGCTCTAGCAAGGATAGAGGTAAGAGCCAGGTGACCGGGTAATTGTCAGACTTAATCATGCCACACGCATCCAAAGTGCAGTAAGCAAGAGCAGGTTTTTTCCATTGTTTCCTTACTTCTACCAGACCTAATGCTCCAAAATGGTAGTTCTACTTATATTGCAATTCTCACAATTTAAGTGTACTGTGAGAACCACGTCGGCAGCAAATTGGCTTGGGCATGGTAAGTGGGGCATCTGCAAAGCTTCTTCAGTACATAAACTCATCCTCTTCTAACTCTTTTTTTTTCATTCTTAAAAGCCTGTATCATCCCAGTGCAATATATCACGTAAAATCTAGTGTGCAGCAATCTTAATCTAAAAATCTTTGTGTTTACAGCACGTTTATGAGATAAAGGAATAATACCATTAATCCACAGTTATGGAGAGAGAAACTGAGCGACAGATGTAGTTATTCACAAGACTGCAGAATAAATGCGCTAAAGGCAAGAGCTGGAGTTCAGCTTGGCCTTGTCTTGACTTCCAGCAAGGAAACTTCATTTTGTATTTGTATCAAGTCATTGCTTTTTCATCCGTGTTTCTTATTCTTTCACCCAAAGCCTTTCCCTCTCCAAGAGG